AAGAAAAGAGACAGACAGACTTACTGTGATTATTGAATGTAATGGCCCAGGTCCCTTCTAGTGACCTTTGGGAAATTTCATTAATGCCTTACAATGAGTAGAAAAATCTTTCTTTTCCCATTTTAAGGGAAAATTGAGTGTGCAATTGAGAACAAGGGTGTAATTATTTGGAAATCATGTAAATGTTAGTTCATAGAAAATTAGGAAAAAAGAGAGAATAAACTCAATAGCTGCAAAAGCAGATATCTGGATACAGGAATAAAGAGCAGACACCCCGCCCTAGTAGGTGGGGCTCCGTGGTTGGTTGAGCCTCATCCATTGCACCAACAGGTCATCAGTTTGATTTCTGGTCAGAGCACAGACCCAGGTTTCAGGCTTGATCCTCAGTAGAGAACATACTGACCTCTCTTCTCTCTCTCTCTCTCTCTCTCTCTCTCTCTCTATTCCCCTCTCTCTCTCAAATCAATTAAAAACATTTGAAAAATAAAAAGAGCTGACAACCTTTGTTTGAAGCTCCAACTACGTAATTATAGGCAAATATTTTAACTTAAATCTTATTGTGAGGATTAAATGGAAAACAAATGGAATAACAAATGTCAAGTGCTTGTCAACTAATGAGTCACCAATTAATGAGAATATACTGTTCCAGATAAGACTTAAACAAAGAAAATAATAAAAGATTAGAAAGACATCCTATTTTATTTTATTAAATCTTGGGTTGAAATTGCAAATATTTATTAGATGAATGAAATAACTTACAATGTATTAAGAAAATGCACATGACCAAATCAGTGTACCTAGGTCTTGTTCATCTTCATATCAACAAACTCCAGGATTTGGAGGTGAAGTGAGGAAACAGATAAAAGTTACAAGATAAATAAGACAAAACAAATAAAGGGTGAATTCTGTAAGTAAAAAAATGTTTTTTCAAGACATAGACTCTTTCTCTCAATAATTATTTACTGGGCATTCACTGTGTGGTAAGTTAGTACTTGACTATGAAACTACAAAGAAAGTTATTCTCGTTTCCTTATTAAATTTGGGAACAAGGAAATAGTAAGGTGAAAAAAATCAATGAATAAATGATGAACGGATGAGGATAGAGCTCAAAAGGAAAGCAGAAATTTCCAAAGCAGAAGCAAAGTTAAACATAAACAGCAGAAAAATGGGAGCATGTATGAGAGTGAATATTAATAATGTTATACATTTAACTGCCTAATGGATTTGGGAACTTGTTAAAATTATTATTAATAGATAAAAAGTGAAGGCCAAGCCCTGACCAGTTTGGCTCAGCGGATAGAGCATCAGCTTGCAGACTCAAGGGTCTCAGGTTCAATTCCAGTCAAGGGCATGTACCTTGGTTGCGGGCACATCCCCAGGAGGGAGTGTGCAGGAGGCAGCTGATCGGTGTTTCTCTCTCATCGATGTTTCTAACTCTCTATCCCTCTCCCTTCCTCTCTGTAAAAAAATCAATAAAATATATTTAAAAAAAAAAGTGAAGGCCAATACATTCTTAGTTCTAAATTTGCATATTATTTGTATTCAAAATATAAATAAGAGATCACATGTGTTCCAGCATCACCCAGTTCAGGCATCTAGTGCAGTAGGCAGTAAATATCCCCTTTTCAGACAGCCATACAAAAGGCATTAAAGACAATGACCATAAATCTTTACTTTCTTCAAAGCAAAGGAAAATCTAATTCTTTGAGGGATATTTATGTTCTGTTTAGAATAAATTACAAAATTGAGGCAAAATATATTCTAGAGGATATCTGTCCCCTTCTCCATCAGCTCCATGTTGAAACTATTTGATATAATTTTTACAATAATTTCAGAATGAAATTGCCCAGAGGGAACAGCTGTCTAATGATACTGAACAATTTTCATGTGTTTGCTTCAGAAATGCTTATTTTTTGGATGAAATATGATTGAGACTGTTCCCAAAGAGTATAAGAATAAAAGTTTACATAATTCACATGAATTAAACTGTCAACAATGAGAAAAGATTAATTCTATGGAACTGTATTTTGTAGATGTGACATATGTCCAGTTTTGTTTTTTTTTAACATTTCAGCCAGCGAGTTAAAGACTTGTAACAAAAGACTGGATTCTCGTTTTAACTTTATTCCTGATATCCCTACAAGTGAATTTTTTAATAAAACCTTTCAATGCTTAAGTAAATAGCCAGTACTGAGTCTGTAGAGGAAAATTCCTCATACCGAATTTTTGAGGTTCAGCTTCACCTATTTTTTCCACTTGGAAAAAAAAATGATTTACCCAGTAGATTTATAAATGGGTCATTGTAGAAATGTATTTTACTGATCAAAGGATTCAGAATAAAAAAAGAAACCAGAGCTAAATGAATGAGAAACAGGTATTTAAATAAAGGAAGGAATCAATTTGCTCTATATTGTCTTTCTATTCCACTGTTGCTTGTAGTGGTTATGTGCACATGCAAAAGTAATTATGAAAATACAGCACTTTCTAGAGATATTGGGTTGTTGTTGGGTTTTTGCCTCTCACTTCCTGGAAGTGAGAGGGAAGGGCAGCACAACCTTAAGGGGAAGAGATAAGTATACATTAATTTAGAAGGGAAGTTTTTTTCATTTCTTCACCATGTTGATGATGAAAACAGTGATGATCACTATAGAAATTCTTTTGTTTGAAAGAAGTTTAGAGAGAATATGAATCAAACTTCAATTCCAAAATTTTCTGAAGTGGAAATTATATCCAGAATGTTCCATGTCCAGGTTTCTCCTGCTCCCTTACTATTAAAAGTTAATTCAAGTGTATTTTAAAAACAATGTGAATTGAGAAAAACTACACCATATGCCCTGGTTCCCCAGGCAGCATAAAGCAAGGTGCTGAGCAATGACGCAGTGGATTTGATCAGTTTTGACAGCCAGTCTTGAAACTCAAGCCAGAATGCCCTGTTCTTTCTTCCGCCTGAGGTTTGGGGACTGGATTACATGACCAATTGCATCAATTTACTACTTTACCTTGGCAAGGCCTCACAAACCCTGCGTGTACAAAATGGCTTTCTGATCCTCTTGAGCATGCCTATGCGACACAGACATTTTACAATGTCTATGTCAGCATACACAGTCACAATAATGATGGATAAAAGTATTGAAGTGCCCTTTGAAATACTCTGGATTGTCCTGCACCAAAGTGATCCCAGCTTCTTACTTTCCTTTAATTACATAACCTTATTTACCAAGGATAGTATTTGACTAGGGAAGCCTAGTACAATTTGTAACCTGATAAATATAAATTAACTCTGGAAGTCCTCCTCATCCTCTGCTTGAAACATGTCCAAGAATCAAGTAGATTATCTGGATCATTTCCTTAGTGAATTTCCATAATCGTACAAAAATGCATGGCGTTCACATGGATAGTACATCATTTACAGTGATCTATTAGTGAAATTGCAGTGCTCTACAGATGAAGGCCATTAATGTTAAATAGTCACTGATGCCACAATAATTCAACCCCCCCAAAAACTCTGAAGAGTCTACAGGGGTGTGTGCCACCTACTTCAGAGACTCATGAGGCTAAAACAATCTCTCCAAAACTTCTTAATGTCCAATGAGCATTCTAACTTAAAGATAAATAGACATTGAAGAGACGGATGGGATTTTAAGTCGGAGATGAAAGTAAATTAACGTTGGGGCAATTTATCTTTTATAGAATATTATGGGGCAGTGCCAGCAGCCACAGATGCACACCTCACGAGGATCTTTGAAAGACATCTGTGAGGTAGTGGAAAATGCAGTTTATATTCAAAATGTAATTTAGCGATGAAATGTCAACCACATCTCAGATGAATGTTTCAAAGATACAAAGAAAAATTGAAAAACATATTTTCATTCACTTTTTCCATGTGACATTTTTAAAAAAGCATAGCTCATATATACTAGTGAACCAACTAAACTGAAAGATAAAAGGAAACCAGAGTGAAATAATGAGGAGAAGGAGGGAGGGTTGGAGGGAGAGTTAAAGAGAGAGAGAGAGAGAGAGAGAGAGAGAGAGAGAGAGAGAGAGAGAGAGAGAGAGAGAGAGAGAGAGAGAGAGAGAGAGAGAGAGAGAGAGAGAGAGAGAGAGAGAGAGAGAGAGAGAGAGAAGAGAGAGAGAGAGAGAGAGAGAAGAGAGAGAGAGAGAGAGAAGAAGAGAAGAGAAGAGAAGGGAAGAGAAAACAAAAGGAATCATATCAAAGAAAATACTTCAGAAACTTTCTATTTTATAGGTTGTCAAATGTTTACAAAAGACTGATATATCTCCTTGGAAAAAGACCGTGAAAATGATCACATAGTATAGGGTTCCCCTAATACTACCCTTTAAATAAATCACTTTATTATTTGTCTGTTTGCCTGTTAGAAATTTAATACAGAACAGAGACCATGCTTTCTTATCTTTTTACCTATCCTTTCAGTCCAAGCACAGTACCTGGCACATAAGAAGTTCTCAGTAGATATTTGTGGAATAAATGAAAGGATGAACAGCATTCTACTTTCAAATGTTACTGATTATATAAATGTTTACAGACTAATAGTTTTTTTCCTGTTCTATTTGTACATGATTTCTAATTTATTAATATTTCCTTATTGTTCATCGCATTTGCAAAGTAACTCATGCAAATGACAAGACCCAATTGCCCATGGATATGCTGAAAGTCATGGTCATGATATCCTCCTCCATTATCTAGCTTTCCAGAAAGTCCATTTGTTGGACTATATGACCCTTTAATAGGGAATTATTTCAAACCTTAAGGAAACAAATGTAGCATGGTAATGAAAGGAAAATTATGCCTTTCTTGTTTTCTTTTTTTTTTCCTTTTGGGATGGATTTGGGGTTTGGTCATTTAGAAGTTAGATGGGGGTTAAAATGTAGTAAGTAAAGCATCTAATGAAATTAAAGCATTTAACAAAAGTAGGAAGTAAAAAACAGAGAAAATGGTATTAAAGTATAAGGAGAAATTAAAGTGAGAAACCAGAGAAAGGAGTGAAAGAAAAGAGATCAGCACATTATTTTACACAATTTTATATACATATATATATTTTTTCTGATAAGCAATGTATCTCTATATATAAAAGGCTAACATTCTAAGTGTCCAACCGTCCGACTGGTCGCTACGATGCACACTGACCACCAGGGGGCAGATGCTCAATGCAAGAACTGTCAAGCTGCAGTGACTTGCAGTGGCGGTTCTTGGGTGGCACACCCTGTAACCAAAGAGGAGGAAGCCTGATTCCTTGCAGGGCTGCATGACTCCACCTTTAGCCATGGGTTATGTTGTTGCTGGGGCACTGTCGGCCCCGAATCTGGTTTATTGCACACTTGCATTTGCGTTCCACACCCTGTTCGACAGCAACTTTGCCGAGTGCCCTCCTGCACTCAGGGACCCCTCGGGGGATATCAGAGAGCTGATTTCAGCCAGATCCCTGCAGGCCAGGCCAAGGGACCCCAGTCCCACCCTGCCAGCACCTTCTAATTAATTTCCTTTCAATGTACACGAATCCATGCACCAGGACACTAGTTTTTATATAACATTCATTCTGAAATACTCCAAATATGATATAACTTAAGAATGAGATTGCATAGATTCATAAAATGACTAACCTTCCTTGGTACAATTGCTTTGGGTTTCATCACTGAAGTCTCCACAGTCATTGTCACCATCGCAGGCCCAATGGCCTGGGATGCATCTGCCGCTGGAACATCTGAACTGATGATCAAGGCAAGAGTGAACACAGCCGACTTCATCACTCCCGTCCCCACAGTCATCATCTGGAGAGAAACGTCAATGTAAATCCAGTGAAAACTGATCCAGGGAGAGACCTTTTATCATGAAATATCTGAGTGCTTTTTTCCCCTCAGAGTTTTGTTTTGTTATTGAAAAAGGCACACCAAATCGGTGGTCAGCAGTTCCCATGAACAATGGGAAATCATTTTCTGTTTCATATTGCTTCACTTAAGATTTGATACAACTACTAAATTAAGAGGAAAAAATCCTGACTTTGAATATTGAATCTTAATTTCTATTTCACTCAGAACTGATCAACCACTTACTGAATAAATCTAAGCAGCATGATATAATTATGAAGTGGGACAACAATGGTGACTGTAGGAATTTCATGAAATGATATAGTTAGCAACATAATTATTGTGGAAAGTTATTATTTTGACTACTATATCCATGCATCATAATTTATATCTTCCATTCAATCCCTCATTCCTCATTCTCCAACCTGAGGGCCACTGTGTAACCTTCGCCCGGTTGCCCCCACCCCCTCACTAGTTCCTAAGTGTGTATTTACACTGGGAAATTGTTGTACACTACATTAGCAATGATTTATACTTTTTATTAACAACTATTACGAAAGGGAAGGGATAGAAATATAAATTGAAAACAGGTTACATTGAAATCAATAGCTGGGAATGCATCAATTGTATCTAATTCATTTATCTGTATTTGGCATAATTTAGGGTGATAATACAAATGAGTATAAGAAAAAACCCACATCACTTGAACATGCAAAAGCAAGGTGACAGAATTGAGACCATCTGGATAATTATATAAGAATTTATACACTACTCCATCCTGGGTTACAGAGCATTTTTCATATATACCTTGGGGATCCTGATTTGTCCAGGTCATTTCTTCAATTGTCCCCTTTTTACTTCATGTTTGTAGACTTAGACTGTGTCTGGCATAGTAACTGAAAACAAATGCCCATCACAGCCCCATGGGACAGATAGGGAGCTCCATTATCCTTAACGCTAGTCCCGATCTGTGTACCAGCTGCCCTCTCACCACTCATTCCAGCCATTGTGCTAGACTCTGCACGCCTCTCTGCAAACCCTCAGAGGGAGGTGAAGCAGCACAGCCAGCCAGGCCCCCAATCAAATCAGGGCAGCGCAGTGAACATTCGGTACTTGCCAGAGTCGCAGCGCCATTTGCTGCTAATGCACCTTCCACTTTTGCATATAAATTGAGTCAGTGGCTCACAAGTTGGGAATTCTGTGAAAGATATAAACACATCCAATAGGAAAGATGATATAGACTGTGCTTGACTTCATCGGTATCCCATTTGCTAATTTAATCAGAGCTCCACTCCTATTTTTCCACAAACGACACAGAGGAAACATTAGATAAACACATATAGTGACAGTGACTTCTTGAGGACATAGGGTACACGTACTTTTAATATCTTTTAAATGAGCACTTTCCAGTGACTGAAAACCAAGGAGAATCATCTGATGAAGGGCTTTTTGGATTCACGGTATTGCGAGTAAAAGGAATAGATGTCAGCTGTCTGCACCAAGGGACTCAGCCTCCTCTCAGAGAGAAACAGCTGGAGGAAGCTCTATGCTCCAGTGCTACAAAGTCATGTGCATATGTTTTAAAAGAAAAAAGGCCTTTTCTGAATACAGAGAGCCAAAGTAGGAGAGTTAGATCTAACTTTGCCTCCGAGAGCTGTCAACATCATAAGTTGAAAGTAAAAACAAAACCAAGCAACTCAATAAAATTAGTTTAGTTGTTATATACATTTTAGAATAAATTTAACTTTTTGAATCCTGAAAAGTATGATTAGAGCCTAAGTGTTATTCAAAGATAGATGTAAGAAGGGGGCAATCTCTGATATACAGAGATGTAAGGCTATATCAAAGGATAGACTATATCATACAGCAAACCAACAAATCTTCTGACATAAAAAAAAAGTATTGGCAAGAAAAATGAAAATGCCCAACGTGTGATTTAATCAATACTTCTGAGAGAGTTTTCTTTTGTTAACTGACAAGATAATGAAAACTTACATTTATGTTTCAAGAATCAACATGAATGTCCACCTACATAAGCACCTATGTCACTCACATGGAACACAGACACAGCAGTAACGAAGTGAAAACAGTAAAAAACATTTAAAATAAAGATAACAATTCCTGTCCTTTACTTGTGGTAAATACATAATAAAAAACATAAAGCATATATGTACATATGTCGAAATGACGTAACTTCTTTTTTTTTTATAAATAAATAGGAGATGGAGACATAACCACAAAACGATGAACATCGAGTTCGACATAAACCGAGGACTGCCTGTATAACTGGCTAATACACATTTTTGAGTCTCTCTCCTGTAAACTTAGAAGCATATAAACCAACATCACAAGCTTTACAAGAAAAAAACTGCCCCAGCATTTGGAAATTTCTGATATTTGGTGGGTAATTTACTAGTTAGAATATTTTCTATTTGACCTTTAAGATTTTTTTTTTTAATTTCTTAGATTCTAATTCTAAAAAAAAAAAAGTAAAAAGAAATCTGAAAATTAGCTCCCAAAGGGTAAACAAACACCCTACAAAATGAATAAGATAATCTAAAATCTGTTTTATCTTCAATCTTTAACAAAATGAGTCATACCCCTTCTACCCACAATAGTCATGAGAAACATATATGTGTATAATATATTTTTAAATAATTGCATATCATTTCTGATTTATTTTTTTACATAATACTGAGTTACATCATTTCTCCTATAACCTCATAGTCTGAATTCGTTTATAGGACCCAGAGTGAAATTATATACAGAAAAAAACTTGGAAGCTCAAAGGGCAAGTCACTAAGAAGAACAAAGGCTTTAACTGAAGGGACACGTGTAAGGAAATAAGTTACTAATGTTTTATTCCTGTTTTGTTGTCAGAGCAGTGTGACCTTTGGTAAATCACACAGCTTCTCTGGTTACAGATTCTTGGTTTGTAACATGATCTCTTGATCCTCTAAGTTCAAAAGACCAAGAAGTCTGGAGAATTCTCATTGAATAAACAGCCAGAAAGCCATTAACACAGCAAACTCCTCCCCCACCCCCCAACAAAACAAAAGAAAACAAAACAAAACAAAAAAACCAAACCAGGGTTTATCACCTGAATAACTCCTGGGATTATCACAGCATTCCAATAGAATACAATAACTGAATTTCAGAAAAAAAAAAACAACAATAAAAACAAACAAACACTTGTTAACAAAGAAATGTTAAAGTTATATTTGGCTCTTCTCTGTTTATTAGTGTAGTCAAATGTGACATACTATTTATAAAGAGTTCCATCAAAAATTAAATCTAGGGTCAGCAGAAAATTTAAATATAGGGCACCTGATTTTTCACTATGGTGGAAAATACTGTATCTATAATTCTTCCATATTCTACCCTGGTACCTGGTGGAGATAGAGAAACAGTGTCTAATGATAATATATTTTACCCCTAAAAATAAAACAAAACCAAAGTTCTTAAAATAAATTTAACATTGCCCTTGTCCTTCTGTATTAGCATTAATTTAAAAGTTGAATATCGTATCTAAATATTGCATTATTTTTTCTGGATCCTTGTTCTAATAAAATACCATCATGCATTTTTATGGAGTATTAGGCAAAGGTTTTAATGTTATAAATAATATTTTCTTTCTTGATTTTTACATAAATATAATTTAACTTTTGATCTTCCTTGGGCAACAAATTGCAGGACATTTGAAAAGATTACCTGATTTACTCTGAAAAAAGAAAATATTATGAACTAAAATGGCTTACATTTTATCACATTACCATTACAGC